GGTCCTAATAATAAATATTAAATTGCATTCATCGAAATATATATTTTTTGCTTTTGGATTCGAAATGAGGAAATATAAATTAAGTTGCGACACTTCAATTTTTTCATATATGATTCTCAATAAATAATTTAGCTAAGTCATTTATAGATTTTTAATATTTCAAAACAAAATAAAAACTCAAAATTATTTTTGTATATTTATTTCACCATCCACAATCTCATCAAATTATTTTTTTGTACGAATATAATATTTTCTTGTCACAAAAATATAGATTAGATTTCTCCTTCAAGTTCCATTTCTTTTTATAAGACCAAAGCATAAATGCTATTTACTCCAAAACTGTAACAATTGATACAAGTTAGGATAATAAAAATAATAAATTATTATATTTTTTGTGTTGTATCAATCATGAAAAAATTAAAATTAACACATTAGAAAAGGCATGGGTCACATAACAATGTGTGAGTGTGTGTGTGTGTGAAAGAAAGAGAGAGAGGGAGGGAGGTTGATCTTAGAGAGAGAGAGGTTGATCTTAGAATGAGTTGCCATTTGGTTGTTTTTTTAATTTTGACGTTAGCTTTTTTTTTTCTTTTGGGTTTTAAATGTTGTGGGTTAGATTATGGACCTTATATATTGGGTTTAAAATTTTTTATTGGCTAATTTGGAAGTCAATACAAAAATTTGGATTAAATTGAATTAAACTACATTAAAAAAACTTATTTGACTTTTAATCTTTTTTTTTTTAAAAAAAAGACTAAAAAGTCATTCATTACTATCTCTCTCTCCCTCTCTCCCCACAACTCTCTCAATCTCTCTTCCCTATTTTTTCTCAATCTATTTCTCTCTCTTTGTATCGGTTACTCTCTCTGTCTATTCCCTATTTTCTCTCGCTGCCTCTCATCAATTGTTTATTTTCTTCAAATATGAAAATATTTGATTTAATTTTTCCTTTTCTCCCTACTATTTTCTGTCTCTCGCTCTCTCTCCTCCTATTTTTTCTCACTGTTAATCTCTCTCCTTATTTTTCCTTTATATATCAATGTTACAAAAATACAATTACATACATCAGTTACATCAATTAATTAAAATTGTCCTATAATACACCAAACAATTACTCATGTGTTTTGATAAACTAAATAGTTACACTAACAATTACATAAAATTACAATATATGCTAGCCCAATTTGTCAGTCAATTATTTACATAAATGAAAGAGTTACACTACCAAATATCTAATATTAAATCGTATAACTCTTTGGTTCATGTAAACAACTGAATAACAAATTGAGTTGGTGTCATAATTTTGTGTAACTATTTGGTGCAACTGTTTAGTTTGTTAAAACCCAAAAGTAACAATTTTGTGTATTATAGGACAATTATAACTAATTGATGTAATTGTGGTATTGTAACATTGATATAAAGAGAGAAGATGACGAGAGAGAGTAATAGTGAAAGAAAATATGGGGGGAGAGTGTGAGAGAGAGAAAATAGGGGGAGAAAGATGAAAAAATCAAATTGAATATTTACATTTTTGAAAAGAAAATAAATTATCAATGGGAAAGAGAGAAAAAAAATAGGGGTGAGAGAGTAATGAAGAGAGGGAAAGAGAGAGAGTAACAGTGTGAGAAATAGGAGGAGAGAGAGAGTGAAAGAATAAGAATTATGTATAATTTAAGGAAATGTAAGTAAAAAAATTTAAATGTCATTTTGAATTTATACCTAATTACAAGATTTTTTTTATTAAAATTGAACTTAATAGAGTAAAATATTTATCCATACAGTTTCTCTCAAATAAGTCTTAAAAAATGTACCCACACACAAAAAAAAAAATCCTTTTTTATTTGAGTGAAGCCTAAAGCCCAGACTTTAGCAGTCTAGTGCTTGAGCCAACTCTGTAAATAGACCAACATTATTAAAAATTCAAATAAAACAAAAGAGCAGAATTTTCTTTTTGATTGTACATATTTATGATTTCAATAAAAATATTTTTAAATTTTTAATTATTTGACATAACATCTTAAAATTTATATATATATTTTTCAAATTTAGTCATATCATTTTAAGAGACATACAAGAAAAAGGCCCAGGTGAGTGCAGTCCTAGGCGATTGCACCGGTTGCCTACAGGTGGAGTCGGCCCAGAGTCAACCATTTTCCCTCTGTTTTTGACTTCATTGGGTGTTTATCCAGTCTACTAAGGGTAGATTTAAACGAAATGAGACTTAAGAGATTCTATCATAAAACTGTCTCAATTGTCGATAGTTTTTATAAAATTTTCACTTCTTTTTACTGGGTTCTTTGTGTATCTTTAGTACTTTATTTTTCTATAGAGCTTTAATTTTCTTAACTTCAACTAAACAGTGATGGTTTGATTGGTTGTAGGTCCTATTTTTGATTTAGTTGTTTTGATTGATTGGACTTGATCAATAATTTAATTAGGATAGATTATGTTATTACTAAATTTATAAACTTGTGCTAAATTTTGTTTTTCTCAATTACTTCTATTTATTTATCTATTTTTTTATTTATGGTCCTTATAAATTGTTTATCAAAATTTGATGATAAATATTGATTTTTTGTCCAACTAAAGGAATTTACTTTTGAATTAGCTATGGATAAATGTTTTAAAAGCGATGAATATTAAAACAACCTCTTATTTAAGAAAGTGATAATCGGAGTGTTGAAAAAAAAATTAAATGAAATTCTTTTAGAGCTTATTTTATTATTAAGGTTTGTTGATTTGGTGTGTGTCAGTGGATAAAGAATATACAAGTAGTGGAAGATACTAATATTAGTGGGTGTGTTTGGACATAAAATAAATAAATCTTATAAATATTCAAGGGGGATGATTAGCTACAACCATATTTGAAAAGAGAAATAACTAACTAGAAATTACTATTCATTAACCGTTGATGGAAGTAAAATCGTTGAGAACAATGACCATAAAATGTCATATAATGGAGAAAATGAATGATGCATTCAAATTCTTATAAGACCCACAATCTGGATATTTTTAGCAATAGCGTTATATTAGATTTAAGAGATAGTTATTGGCGCAATCAAGACTATTAATCCAATTTTTTTTTTGTAACTAAAGTCCTTTAGATTGAATTAATAAATGAGTTTTTTTATTAGTTTCTTGTATTGTGTATTTGTCCACTAAAATTCATTTAAGGAAATTCTGAAACTAGATATTTGAACCTCTCACAAACAATTGTCTGAGAACTGTCTATCGATTGAGTTTCTTCTGTTGATAACAACAGATCTTGGAGCAACAGGGTGTTAATTCTCTAAATAATGGTCTTAATATTTTAAGAGTTACAAAAGTTAGCGAGTGTAGTGGTGTGTGAATGTAAGCTAGGAGTTATATGTATGACTTATATAAATAAGACATATAATGTAGCGTTAGAAGTAAATAGAGTTGAGTAAAAGTTGAAGACTCTAAATTAAAAATTATTATTTTTTAAGTGTTTATATCCTCCTTTACTTCCTTCCATTTTATTTCTAGTCCCCTTCACTCTAACAAAAGTGGCATCAAAGCAATTTTCTAATTGGAGTAATTCCTAACGCGTAATAGTGATATACAATATTGTTCTAAGTAATTATGGGTGAGCTTTTTTTTTTTTTTTGATACACCAGTTTTTTGTTAGCTTTTTTGATGAATTTAGTTGAGTGTTTTTTTTTTGTTGACTCTTTTTATGTCCTGTGTCTATACACATTCTGTAATTGGCATTTTCTTATAAAAAAAATTGAACTTCGAAATTGCCCCAACCGTAGAAAAAGTCCGGTGGGGTTATTCCCACCCTATTAAACTATAAATCATAAAACTACTAAATTCACATCTTTTATATCCACCCCACTAGTTACTAGGTTCACCTCATTCTGTACTCACTCTATTAATAACAAAACTTATCTTAATGTTCAATTTTATAGTTTCTTTCTATAGTTATCTCACATAATCTATACACAAAATATACTCAACTAGATTCTACTTGGGTTTCCTTCATGCAAATTTGCTTCAACTGTCACCATCAGATCTTTATTTTCTCCGATCTAATTGTCGGAACAATACTTCGATTCCACTGTGTGCTTCTCTTTCTTCTTTTCTTAATTGTCGGTTGAAGGAATTCGCAAAGAAAAATATATTTTTTTGCATGCAATTTCTCAATATATAAAAAGAAATTTCTTAGAATCCCCATTAGAAGTCGCATTTGAAACTAAGTTTCTTGAAAATAAAAAGAAAAAGATCATCAAATGTCCCTCCTCGAATCACACAGTGTATATATAATTGTTTGTTTAGTTCTAATAGATAACCCAATTGAATATATTTTTTTATAGACTGTGTGAGATGGAGTATAGAAATAAACCCTAAAAGTAAAAATTGAGATAAGTTTAGTTGTTAATGTGGTGGACGTAGAATGGAGTATACTTAGTTATTAGTGGGGTGAGTATATGTGGGGTAAATTTAATAGTTTTATAATTTATTATTTAATGGGGTGAAAATAGAGATTTGTGGGATAGTAATAACTCATTCAAAAAGTCTGGCACGGCGCTGACTCTTACTATTTTCCCTCAAACATCTTGTTCTCATTTCAAACATCAATGCATCATCCAAATTAAGTTTCGTTGCAACTCTTATACTTCAAGTGCCTTTTTTCTCCCATCCCTCAATTCTTAAATCCCATAGCACTACTGATCCCAATCACAAAATGAGGCTAGAAGGCATATTTTTCACTCTCTCCATTGCCCTTTTTGCTGCTTTGACATCCAAATATTTCACAACTCCACACCAACTATTTCTCAAGTATCTCGTTGATTGTAGTCTCACCACCTTCTCATCACCCATTGTTCCAACAACATTCAGGCCAGCCATTATCATCGCCATCATCACCATCACCATCACCATCACCATAAAAAATCTAAAAAATCTGTGTGATGATTTTCTACCAGATTTCCCCTCTCCAGATACTAACATGACTTCTATTATCTGTGTCGATCTTA